GAATTAATGCATGTTTAATATGGAGAGAGATAGAAAATTATGAACCAGTGAGAAATCTCATATCCCAAAAGTAATGCATGTTTAATATGGAGAGAGAGAAAATTATGAGCAGTTGGGAAATCTCTTATCCCTAAATTAATGCATGTTTAATACAGAGAAAGATAAAATTATGAGCAGCGAAAAATCTCATAGTGTAGATATGAAAAAAAAATTACATCAAAATCCCAATGTGATGAAAGTTTATATTGAACATATATATGTAAATATTTATTATAGGGAGTCTATATATTTAAATTTCCCTAATCTTATTCTCCACGTGGATCAGATAAGTTTTGGGCCCAATTTATATTAATGTTCTGCGAGACTTAACGGGCCTTTCTCGATCCGGTATTCGGGCACCTCGACTATTGATGGTGTGAATTTTTGTTCAATGCTTCGCGACCTCAAATTACTCCAAAATACTGAAAATAACACATAAAAATATTGAAGCAAATAAATTCATTCAAACAATAAATAAGTCGAACAATATAAATGTGCAAATAAATTAAGCATATAAAAATACACTATTAAATATATACAACATGCACATTTTACGACCTATCAAATATAATACGGGAAATTTTGTATCAATGCCAAAACTAGTTAAGATGATCAGGTTTTATCCACAAGACTTTTCTATATCCGATGTTCTCATTTATGAGGATCAGTTGCAGAACTATATTGTTGATAAGAATTTCAACCATTTTTGCATTTGCCCTTTTCATTAAGTTATTTATATTTTTTAGTTATAAAGTTATGTCCTGGCTCACTATATTTGCTAGATCCGCCCCTGACTTCTGCCTATGTGGGACAAGCATTGTCCTTCAATACAAGTACAACAAATGCATGAGATTTCTGCTACTATAAACATTTTCTTTACATTTGAATTGTAGAATGTGTTTTGGTTGAACGAAGCTAAGTTGTGCTAGATATATTATAAAAGTGAAAGTTTGTGAAAAAAAAATAATAATTGAATACATGGAATTTAATATTTATTAAGTAAAAAAAAAAACTTGAATATTGATCAATTCATAATAAATTAAATACATAAACTGATTGTTACTTAATTTAGACTAACTGAATACATAAATTGATATATCAACACTTTGGTGGCACCTTCACACATATACATCCATGATAAATATTAAATACATATAAGTGTGTGTATTTTTTATTTATATTAAAATTATATATAAAAAATAAGTATTTGAAAATATTAAATTGTCTAAATGTTTAATAAACAAAGTTTTGTATTCATCTTCATAGAACGGCTAGGTTTTACGTTGACTCGTCAAACCTATCATGTTATAATTTTTACTATATAAAATATTATATATTAAAAAATATTAATAAGTACATTCACTACTATACTTCTCGGCGATTTAACCCTAGCCCTACCCGACCAGCGCCTCCTCTTTCTCGGCGAATCTGCCTTCCTCGGCGACGGTCATGCTCGTCTAGTAGTCGTCTCAATCGCTCGCTCCCTCCCTCGGCGTAGTGCGCCCCTGTTGCTGCCTCAGATGTTCGATTGACGGTAGCCTCAATTTCGCGATTGTAGACGAATTCTCGGACGGCGATGGTGCGCCTCATGGTCGGAGCAAAGCCGGCGTTCTCAGATGCTGACGGAGCTGCGATTTGTGTGGGTAAGGCCTGTCTTCCTGTTTGTTTGCAATTTTCGGATTTGGCTTCGGTGGGTTTCCCCTGTTCTGGTGGGGCCCGAGCTGCTTGTCGTTGGATGGTTGCGGTGGTATCGGGTGGAGTTCGAGCTATAGGGTGGGGCGGTCTCCGGTCTCTGCGGCTTCCTTTGGTTGCTGGAGTTGGGGGTGAGGTCCCGTTCTTCCCCTTCACAATTCCTCGTTTGTCTAGTGGTGTTGGACGGCGAGGAAGGTTCTTGTTGGTCTCGTCTAGTGGTGTTAGATGAGTTCCAATGGAATCGGTGTAGGGCGGACTTGGCTTCTCGGTTGCGATGGGTCAATTCGGGGACTGGTTCGGTGTTAGGTTTCTGCTATTGTATAGGCTTGATTGCAGTTTCGGTAGCAGGTTCTTGGCCTGGATTAGTCTTGTGTTGATCGTTCACTGCTGGTTCGAGCTTGCTCTTTTCGCTGGGGAAGGGTTGTTTTTATTTTTTGTTATTAGGATTTTTGTTTGTTTGTGTCTGGTTTTGTTGTTGATTTGTCTTGAGTCTGTGTTTGTTTTATTTTCGGTCTTGTTTTTTAGGTTTGGGCTGTTGGCCCCAGTTCTGATTCCCCTGTGAGGGGCGTTTCAATTCTCCTGTGGGGAGCGATCGTAGTTGGGGTGTCTGTGTTTTGTTTTGTGTGTTGTGTGTTTTCTATTCTAGCTTGGCTAGCGAGGCTCTAGGCGGTCTTCCGATCCGTCCTCTCAGTTTTTAGTTCTGGGTTGTAATATTCAGCCTTGGGCTGCTTTGCACTGTTGTGCGTTTTATTTATACTATCTCTATCGTTTCGGCCAAAAAAAAAAATATTAATAAGTTAAATAACGGTTCAACTACTGGTCAGATCAGTGAACCACTGAACCAGTAACTTGACCGGTTCGGTTTTCAAAACATTGGTTTTGCTATTCTAACATCACATCAAGTTTAATAACTATATTTTAACTCATATATTTATATATGTATACTCACAAATTCAAAAGTACATCCAAATTTTTACCCAATGATTTTTCCATATACACTAAATCATATCCAATCTAAAAAGACTATTTTTAATCACTTTTATGTTTTTGAGAAGCAAACAAA